ATCATTTAAACACTTCAGGAAAGGACTGTTACATAATTTAATCCCTCAAAAACACAGAGGCACTCCAGTTATACGCATCACAGTGCTTTTCGACTGTACATGTCACAAATGTTAACGTATGTTTCATTGTAAATTTGTTAATGAAATAATTAGCGATGGTCCCTAAAAGGACTAGTCTTTAAAATAGGACCGGATAAGAAACGTCATATCTGGTTATAAAATCAGAGTGGTTTTATAGTTAATCAATCACGTATGTAGTTTTGTACGTGTTACGAATACATATATTTTATTTCGGGATTTATTGCCCACTATAGGACATAAAGCAAACAAATGTCAAAATGAGGTCATTTCCGGTCTCTATTCAGGACAAAAGTTATAGAGATTGGTGAGAAAATTTTATTATAATTTGATACCAAAATGTTGAAAATTGATCAATAAATAAGGGTGCTACGCTGCTTTGAATTAGTTCAGTGTAAGACTTGATTAACTTACAACATTGCAAAACTCCACTAGTCTATATCTACTATATCTGGGCAACGAATAAAGATAGACCACTAAAATTTACTGTTTCGAAATCAGCACGACAAGACCTTTGTACTTGTCTTTTTTGACAGTGAATACTTAAGTTGAAAAAAAGTTTAAAAACCGATGTTACGTCATAACAGAGTAACGGTTGAAAATAGAACTGATAACATAGGGTTTAGTTTAAAGGACTTTAACAGATCTATCACTTTCGTTCGACACCAAACATTAAAAATAAGCGAACCGAACTGTTTTTCCGTATGACTGATTTTATTTCCGGTAAAACGAAATAATAAAAACGAACTTGTCAAGATATTTCGTTTAATACCAAGATCATGAAATTCGGTTATATATCATTTTAAAGATTTAAAACAGAAATTTTGAACATAGCGACAATGATGAAGTCACAGATGGTGAACGGACACAATACCCTCCGGACAAAATCCCCTTGGCATACCCAGACAAAATTTACTTCAAGGGTGGACGTAATTCTATTTATGTTTTTTGAAAGGCTGAACAAAATCCTCTTATCTACCCGAACAAAATCCCCTTGTTTCATAGGTTTCTAATGTATTACCATGCTCCATAAAAATTGATGAATAACGAACTTTTTTATTCATAATTATGTATCAAGTCAACCTTTATAATTATAAAAGCTTGATAAGACATACATTTATATTTGTTGAGATCAATTATCAACCAATTTATCATTTAAAAAAAAATTAATTAGTTCAGCAGTGTTCATTAAAATTGTGGTTAATTATCAACAAATACTCGTATATTTGATTAGGCAATATCTTTAATCGTTTTAAATTGATAAGTATTAAAAACCAATGTTCCCAAATAAAGTACTAGCAATCACCACACAGCATAATGCAGTATGTCGCTGTCATACCCACTTTATAAACATAATTATTTTCAGACTCAAATATCTCGACAACTGTAAATAATAGACCCTTTAACAACTTCCAAATTTTCTATCTTAAAGTTAATCTGAGAACATTTTTAAATAGAGGTTTAAGGGCCATAACTCGAGAACGGCCGAAAATTGAATCGAAAACCTAGGGTTTATTTTAGAATACTTTAACAGATCTATCAATTGAAACAAATTTCTTGAAAATTGATATCGTAAAGTGTTGCACAAAAGACATAAAGGCATTTTTTTCTAGATACACAATGTCAAAATTTATCCAACTGAACTTGACATGTGCTCATTTTGAAGAGTTAATAAATCAATAAAATGAAAAGAAACATACTTCCATTCGTATAACGCGGGTCGGGGAAATCACGTTATAAACATTAGAGCGTCTTTCTTTTCTCCCTGTTCTAAATAAAAACTCGTACAAAGATTAACTTTTACATGTCAATAAGCTACAGTCTACATATCCGTCCCTAAGTAAAAACACGCTAGGCATTGTGGCGACTTTAAGATATTACCACCCTAACGGGCACTATAAGGAACTGAAAAATTTATATCATAGGTCAGATATATACCTTAAAGTACACCAGTATGCAAAATTTAAACAAATTTTACCGTACGGAAATCGAGTAATGGTCACTTTTATGAACTGAATCTAGGGTGTATGAGGACCCTTTTTCAGAAATGAGTAATTTATAAGTAATCTGCAATAACATTCTAATGAAAAACGTTTTCCCATTAAGTTTTGGTAAGAAACAAAAAGTATCATTCAGCTAACAATCAATATAAACAAAATTATGGTTTCTACTCAAAATTTATAAAATATGTATAATATGTTACCCTACCCCGCCCATTTTAACACGTGTTTGACCATTTTCCTACTTAGGGAGCCTCATTTAAAAAAAATCCTTAAAATTTACCCAAATGAGTGCCTCTTTTCAACGTTTCTCTAAATTTTGAAAAAAGGTATATTGGTTGAACTTGTAAAAAATTAAATACTTTTACCGTCTAGTTTTGATTTTATTACACTTTGAAAATATCAGGTACCCATATTTATTACTAGATTTAGCATTTAGCCAATATATACCTATATAAATTAAATAATAAAAAATAAACAAAAAAGTTGACCCATCTAAGAATTTAGTACAGTGAAATCCTTTATCTCCTACAGGATTTCTGATAGATTTATGTCGTTGAAATCAATGCAAAATTTATAGATAAGTCAGTGTAAAATTATGAATGTGTTCAAATGAATGCTTAATGTAAAAAAGAACTTGCTATTAACAGTTGAATAAGAATAATGCCTACAGAAATAACACAGAAGTAAACTCTTCGGGTTTTATTGCTGGTGACAAGGTCAGTTAAACCAAAAACAAAACAAAAACATGAATAATCACATTTGCACTCACGCACACACAAACGTACAACGTTGATGACCTGATTATATTTTAGTTGTTATAATTGGTCCCAGAGATCATCAAACATATTAAATGCGCCCAATTTGTTATTCACAAAAAGATTATTAATGTGATTTCTGTTAAAATAATCAAGTTGATTTTCAAATAATAAAACGCAATTTACAGATCAATTCAGAATGGGCAGTGTGATATAAGATAAAGAGTATAATATTTTATAACAAAACACAATATACTTTTAAGATTTTATAGCACCTTGCCTGAAGCATAGTTGCATGGTATGATCGGATCAATTAAACATACATGGCATTTAAAAGAATATGTCGCATTGATTCGCATTTGGATCTTGACAATCCTTTTTGTTATTTAATAACTAACCATATAATAATCATTTCATCAATGATTATTGTAACATAATACCACTAGATATTTTATCAAGAATAGAAATCTTGTGATATTTAACGGTAGTTTCGCGACACTTTACGGCAAGGGAAAATCGTGCGACATTTAACGTAAAAAAAAATCGACATTTAAAGAAGAAATTCTTTCGACATTTAGCGGTGGTTACGGCATATAACAGCGCTATACATATCACTTCTGAACAACATGCATGTAATCAAACTTAAGCAATCTATAAAAATCGCATCACTCCGTATTAATGCTATTCATTTCAACTCTTTTATCAAACAATTATAGAGCCACTCAAATGCATACTTATTCTTTGTTAAATCCAATACCACAAATTGTTAAAACACATTATTTTTAGAAAAGTTTAGTAAAAGTATGCAAGTATTGTATACCGTTGTTTCTGTTACAATATTCGGTCAATATTTTTCGGAAACTATGTCTACAAACCCAAGTTTATGTCTTAAGTATAATTATATTTTTAAATTGTCAACCGATCACATTCTATGGCTCCCGTGTTGATTGTCAAATATAACAAGAAAATGACCAATCGGCATTCATTTGAAGAAAAAAATGATATCGTTATGAGTTTTAAATATTAAATAGATAATATCTGCTTGTTTTGAATGAATATTTTATATATCATACTAAAAACTAGGAAAAAATATAAATTGATGCGTGATCTCACAAATTATTTTCTTTTTAGTAAGTACTAAAACTTCCAACATTTTTCAATTGTTTTCATCGAAACGCGGTTGTCAGGCATGTACAGAAGATAACGGCAAACGTAAAATGGAAAGATGGACGCTACAAAAATAAAATTTCTAAATGATAATTATCCTTCCGTTGCAGCTTTATACCATTTAAGTGAAGTAAAGATATTTTAATTTAACAAAATGTAAAGTTTGGAAGATGAAAGATTTGACACAGTAGTATTACTTACGGAGTAAGCGATAATACGATAAAAGGCAGTATTGAACTGGCAAGCATTAAATAGAAATAACGGTTACAATTTGATATATCAATTTATACAAAGCCGTATAGATATATCTATTATGTCCTTTTATATTTAAGGTAGTGCTAAAATGATTATAACTTCCTTCACGTAGAGCAAAACAAAAACTACTAACTGTTTTGCTACTTGAATTTTAGAAGGCGCTACATTTATATGTTTTATACGAATATGTGAGGTCTTTGTTTCTACGTTAAACGGGGAGTTTTTTATGTAGTGATATATCAAAATGTTTTTGTTTTTTTTAACTTTTTATTATTGTTAAGAGTGAAAAAAATATAGTTTCAGCCTTCATTGATCAAGAACAAAAAAATAGCGGGACTATTGTGGTATATTTATTTACACATGTAAGTTTTCCATATATCTTGACTTTCGTTGACTTAAAATGGGGAAAAAAGACAGAAAAGTAAAACAGGATGTATATTCTACATTATGTGACAAACATCAAAAATATAATGTAGACCTGTTTTGTGTTGATTGTGACAAAGTAATCTGTGTAATTTGCCAAGCTACAGAGCATAATTCAGTCAATCATAAAAGAATACTGACAGTTGAAGACGCATCTACTAAATGCTCTGAAACGAAGCAGTTTCTAGATTATGAAGACAAACTTTCTATCGTTTCCAAACGTGCAAATGAAATATTGGCAGAAAATAACAAAGTAAATACAATAACAAATCAATTAAAAGAAGAAACAGAATCTTTGATTAAGAAGCATAAACAGGACATGATTGATCTGATTGAAAAACATAACAAGATGTTATATGAAAAGAATCAGCTCAAGTATGAAGAATCCAAGAAAAGATTACAAAAAGCGAATGAGCAATTGTATAAGAATAAGAATAAAACTGCAGAAATTCGCCAGGAAATCCATGACAAAAAGGAGAGTGGACAGACGGTGGCATTGTTTATAGCTATGAAAAAATCTCAAGATGATTTACGGCAAATTGAAATTGAGCTAGAAGAAACTGAAAAACTAAATTTTGTTGAAAGGTAACTTTATAACTGATAACTGCTACAATGCTACATTAAACTTACATACTTTTATATCAAACTTTAAATAACGCAGATCGGGTACTTTTATGTACAGGTACGAGTATATCTTACTTTACGTAACTTGTCTAAAAATCCCAACTTTGATAATAATCATAAAAACTTTAAGCTTAAAACATATTCAAATATAATTTTGCACACTATTACACTGATAAAAATAGCACTTAGTTTATGCTTCCTTTTTTAAAAGGATTGCGTTGATTCAAATGAATATTATCATGCACAAAGAGATATGTGTACCATGCTTTAGTAAAAATAATAGAATTCCATATTTTGAGGTTAAATGTTCTTTAAATGGTCATGTTGGTTTTAGTAGCATTTTAAATGAAACAGTAAGTATTTTATTTATAATCGAAAATTTGCAAATGTTTACATTCATTAACATTGCGCTTAAACTATAAATCCATGTTTCAAGGGTTAGATTGAATCAATTAATTCGGTCGGGCTCAAACATATATGTAAGTAACAAATCGTCATTACATAACATTTTAACGAAACATTTTCTCAGTTTAAAAGTGTGCTTTTTATAGTAACAAATGTACAGAAGCGGGACTCCTCGGAGAGAAAACATGATGGAAAATTATTATAAACATCGAGCCAGTAAACACTCTCACCCTCATTGCTTTAATACATTTATTATTTACACTTATTACTGTTTGCCCAGTAGTAACTATCACATATAATAAAGGAAAACGCAAACTTGATGGACACAATATAGTGAAATAGAATTCGTAAAGAAAATCCAATACAGCAAAATTGAAATTGTTATAGAGTTGATTTAATTGTGCCTGTTAATTGACAGACTGAAAAGTGCATGTTACCGTCCACGCCCCTTTACGCGGATATTTATATTCTGTCATTGAGGAACATATACATTTACATACTCTATATTGATATGATATATTCGATCTTATATATTCTCATGGCAGGTATGAGTTTCAAGCAGGGCACATGGTGGGACAGCTTTTGGAGGAAGAGAAAGAATTTGGTGAATTGTTGGTAACGGCGTCAAAGTCCCCCAAAGGTATTGGAATCTATGTGATCATATTTATTACTTAAATAAATGAAAGCCGACAGTATTCTGTATGTATAAATTAGCAAGCATATTAATTGTTCAGCTGTCTCAGAGAACAATAAAAGTAGTTCCCGAGTAAAAAAACTCTATATGTAAAAGTGAGACAGTCTAAAGTTATTTAATTTCTAAGTATTTCTGCTACATGGAAAAACAATTACAGTTGATACGATCCCCTGTAAAAAACTGATTTCTGCAAGAGAAATGGTAACTTCCAGATAAATATGGGAGTCTTTTACTTTCATGATTTTGTCTAAGAATATTTTAAACACTGCGCATATATCGACAAGTTGTGGCTGAGGTATTACTAGAAAATATATTTGATGGTTTTACACAATAGCGGACAATTCAACATATTATTTAGGTTTGTCTGTAACATAATCAGAGTCGTTGTTATGATGCTATTGCCAAATGTTAAAACACAATTGTTGGTAACAAATTGTAACAATTAGTCATTGCGTTAACCTTTCTTTTAAACTAATGAAATGCATCATGATTACTTGGAATAAATGTAGCATGTTATCTTTTATTAGCTCTGCTTTAAAAGTGTACATAGAATGTTAAAAATATGTAGTGAGACTTTGTTAGTTTAGTCCAGTGTATGTGGTGATTAAAGAAATAAAAAAAAATATATTTATTACATGATGATTTAAAGTGTATACAATCATGTAACTTAATATCATTTAGCATATTTCTTAAAGTAAATCTATATTCACCATTTCCAGTACCGCCACTTGAATTAAAACCTCCTGGTGCTTTTGTTTTACCTCGTCAGAGCAATGCTATGGTACAATCTGAAATGGCCGATGGAGATGAACAGGATAATTACGGTATTTCAATATGTTAGACTGTTTATCAAGCATTTTATATACCTTATTTGTTGATGACCAATTAGGTTAAATAGTTTAAACGCCTGTTTATAAGATTGATAAAACAAGAAAAGGAACAGGAAGTTAATATGTATTTAAAGGGTATTTAAGAGGTAAAAACATGTCATTTATTCATGGAAAATGATAAATTATCGTTGAATTGTTTGCATAACATAATAACAATTTAATAAAGTTGATTGACACTTCTTGTTGTATTTCTGTTCATGTTGAAGAACCAATAAAAACGGAAAAAAAGTGACTTATGATTCAGACTTGGTTTGACTGAGTCTGTTCAGAGACTGGAGTGGTAAGTGCAAGCTCAATCTAGACAGGTAAGCCAAATACAAAAGAATGTCCTTATACAACCATTTATAAAAACACGCTAATAAGCGTGGACCCGGGGGCGCTAATCGAGATTTTAGAAATTAAACGGAGGGGGTGCGGAACAAAAGCACGTTTATTAGCGGTGGCGTGAGCGAAGATTAATAAACAAACTCCGCCTCAGTTAAAAGTCGAGAATAAAGAAGTTAAAATGGCGATGTGGAGGGGGGGGGAGCTGAGCAAAAACACGCTTATTTGCTTATTATGGGTCCGTTTTAGTTTATATTATTTCACATTACATGTCTCACTCCTTTCACCCGATGTCCGCTCCAGGTTTTTGTTTGGTGCCTTCTGGGTGCACTGCTTGGGTGTGTCGGGGAGCTGCGTCCTGTAAACGTTGCCTTTGCCTTGTTGATCTTCATTCTTGCATTTTTTTCATATACATTATGTGACAATGTACATAAGTTAAGCGTCAGTTTTAATTTCAATTTTGAACTGACAATCTTTTTGAAAACTGACATTTTTTTTATTTCTAACTCTTGAACAAAATGTTAACTAAAAGAAATCTTAAAATAATTGTTAATAACATCATCTATAACAAGGTTAATAACTCTTGCATCTTTTCTTCTTTTCAAGAATCATCTTCGTTTTAATCATAGAGTTTTGCCTTATTTTTTTTTACTCTTTAACTATATGCGCTACTAAACGGATTAATAGTTCAGATTTACCATTGCTATCTTTTCTATAATTACATCTTCTCGTCATATTATTACGTCATTTTTATTGCAATAGTGGCATGCTTGTTAAGTGTTTTGAAGAGTTTGGACATGTCAGTGCCTTCCTGGTATCGATGCAATGTATGAATATTATAATTGATTCGTTAAATAGTTCAGATTTTCTAAACTGCGCCCGGTATTAAAAAGGTCCACTAGCCTTTATATTCTTTTATAGTTATTTCATTTTCTCCACTTTATTTAGAATACATAGATGAAGATGCTGACGACGAACAATTTGATTCGAGGATGCCTCAAAATGCCGCAGCTAGCAGAATTTTTGATGTATTTTGCAATGATCTGAATAGGAGATGTAAGTGGCAATGTTTTTTTTAATTATTGTTCTAAATAAATATGAATCAATTAACTGAAATTGAATGTCCTTTTATCCTGGTTACTAAATGAAAAGGTAGCTTTAAGCTTTTTAACCGCTTAATACGACGGTGATGATATATTTTTTTATCATTCTTCCCTAAGTAAATAAACATTCCTTCAAATGTTTTGCTAATTTATCCAAAGTTATAATCCCCTTTATTTCCTTTCGAAACTAATCGAAATCGATTTGAAATTAAATTCTTTAAATTGGTACTTAGTTTGATTAAAAGCAATTGATTTTCATCAAAATAAAAATAAAGCGCATTAATCATATAAACAACACAGTTTATAAAGATGCACCTCCGATTGCAAAGAAACCATCGCCTGAAGCCATATGGCGACGAGGAAACACGTGGCACCATTGTAATGATTCTGATACAGTAACTACGGTATTTACGTGTATTATTTTTTTCCTTTTTAATAACTTGTAATATACTTAGTTTTGTATTTATCATCCCTTCGTTTTTGTGGTCGGCGAGGAAAGGAAACAATGATAACGGAACTGATATTTTTTTGTAATTCCGTCTTTTGTCGCCTTGTACTTTTGTACTTTAATCGCCTTGGATATGTGATATGATTTTTCCAGAAGTTAATGTTCATTACTTTCACTTAATACAATGTTATAATCTGCATGTTATAATTATATGTTATAATAAGTAAGTTGATAGTCAAGCTCATCAAAATATTTTACTAGCAAATGGTAATTTCTTTGTTATAACTTAAGTGTCTACTTTCAGGTTGATACCCAACCATAGCTTCATTGAATAAAAACGATCAATTTACATATCATTTACTTAAGACATCAATATCACCTTTTTGATTCAGTAGTGGAACTCAAATACTTGCGATTGTATTATTCGTATGATTGCCATAGTTCATTCGAATTTTATGTAAAATTGCGTCAATATTATATCAAAAGTGAGCTCAAATCACTTTCATTTCAAATTTGTAGGAACAGCTTCAGGAAATTGAACAAACACAAAGACCGGGTAAAGTTTCAATTGATTTGATGTTTTAATTCACAAGTACTTTCTGAAAATATTTAAAAGAAAATATTCAAAATTGAGTTTTCATTAAATTAATGTTTTCTTTTAAGTAACGATAATGTATATAAAGGACATCCGTAGCCAAGTGGTTAAGGTCGTTGACTTCAAACCACTTGTCCTTCACCGATGTGGATTCTAATCTCGACTTGGATTCTTTGCTATCGGTTCGGTTGTTCTACTCACTTTACAATTCGTGCCTGAAATAATGCACGGAAGGGCACCTGAGGTTTTTACCCACCGGTTAAGCTGGAAAGCCGCCATATGACCTATACTATGTCGGTGCGCGTTATAAACCCCAATCTACGGTGTTCCGTTCGGATAATCCTGATTTTTAATTTCGTCCTCGGTACGATGGTGAAATCGTGCCATCGCGTTTTCACTATTGTACTTTGAGATTTTTCGCAGTGAAAGCCGTGCCCGGGGTAAAAAATCTGACATAACTTCTAATTCCACTACCGAAGATTGATAATATTTCTTAACTTTCATCATACTTCTTAATATATTCTTCTCAAACTTAAATACAGAGCAGTGTACGTGCAAATACATACTAACTTTAGAATACCATTGTTTTTGTGATATTTAGCTTGCTTGAAACTAGACCACTGTCTGTACTTGAGCAAAAGTCCGGTTCTCAGACCTCTCAAATTTAAACAGTTTGAAAAAAAATCATACTTTTACAGTGAAAGAGACATAATTATGATTAAATAGCTATAATTCAATTGTCAATGATAAAATAAACTGACAATGTTTTTGCACCTGCATAAATGAAGAAGGTTAATTCTTTAACTTTCAATTGGACAATTCATCTGTTGGGATTTTTTATCTGCATTAAGATACACAGACAGTTGACATTTAAATTGCTGCTCCAATTTAAGGAATTGTAAAGCATGACTGGCTTTAGTAGATTTAAAAAACTGACCGGTGTTCGGAATTTAGATGTTATGATATTGAGGTTATAATTCCAATGATGTTATAAGGAAACACTTCGGGACCTCAAAACTCGTCCGTGTCTCAGAGGATTCCGTTTTTAGCTCGACTATTCGCAGAATAATCGAGCTAATGCAGTCACCCATTTGCCGGCGTCGGCGTCGGCGTCCCTGTGGTTAAGTTTTTGTATGTAAGCTGGTATATCCATAACTACTGAAGGGAATGGATTGAAACTTCACACATTTGTTCTCTGTGACTATCTTAGATGATTGGCACAAGTCTCATAACTCTGATTTGCTTTTTTCATAATTATGCCCCTTTTTCGACTTAGAAATTTTTGGTTAAGTTTTTGCGTGTAAGCTGGCATCTCCATAACTACTGAAGGGAATGGATTGAAACTTCACACACTTGTTCTCTATGATTATCTAAGATGATTTTACATAATTATGCCCCTTTTTCGACTTAGAAATTCTTGGTTAAGTTTTTGCGTGTAAGCTGGCATCTCCATAACTACTGAAAGAAATTCTTGGTTAAGTTTTTGCGTGTAAGCTGGCATCTCCATAACTACTGAAGGGAATGGATTGAAACTTCACACACTTGTTCTCTGTGATTATCTAAGATGATTGGCACAAGTCCCATAACTCTGATTTGCTTTTTTACATAATTTTGCCCCTTTTTCGACTTAGAAATTCTTGGTTAAGTTTTTGCGTGTAAGCTGGTATCTCCATAACTACTGAAGGGAATGGATTGAAACTTCACACACTTGTTCTCTGTGATTATCTAAGATAATTGGCACAAGTCCCATAACTCTGATTTGCTTTTTTGCATAATTATGCCCCTTTTTCGATTCATAAATTCTTGGTTAAATTTTTGTGTGTAAGCTTGTATCTCAATAACTACTGAAGGGAATGTATTGAAACTTAAAGGGTTTGTACCTTTTCGGACAATTTTATGTATTCATAAAGGTAAGCATTATTATACTCAATGAAGCATCCTTGTGACAAGTTTTTGAATAGTCGAGGGTCGCTGTCCTGTGACAGCTCTTGTTTTCTAAGGATTTTAGTTTTCAGAGTCTGTACTATAGAACTTTTTTCTAGCAGCAATGAAATTCAAAATATATGCAATGCAACCAGTGTATTATAAATGATAAAAAATGAAGAAACATGAAAAACTAAGCAAGCTTTTATATCGTATTGACCTTGATCCTGGGGGAAGGGGTGTCAAGATATGTACGTTAGCGCTCTTATGCACGTGACGTCTACCGCTATTTATACGTTACGTTGTAGACGTCACTCAATATCGAGAATCGTAAAAGTGGAGTATGAGAATACGTCTTTTCAGGTTCGTACCTTTATTGTAATATACAAACATAACGTAAACAGGATGTGACGTCTACAACGTAACATATAAATAGCGATAGACGTCACGTGCATAAGAGCGCTAACGTACATATCTTGACAGGGGGAGCAGCGGGCGAAATAAATACCAAGCAAGATACTCATGTAAGCTTATATCTAAACTCTAGTTATTGACCTGAAAATAAAATCCTCTATTTCATGTAAACAAGACATTGATTATGACCCTACGTTTCGCTCAAGCAAACCATTTGTTGGTCTTATTATCAGCTTGCATCCCGCAAAGTTTCGTCGAAATATCTCATAGCTAGCTAACTTAAGTTATTGAACGAATACCATTTTTTCTATATTAAGTAAAGGTTACATTTGCCTTGAATCTAGGGGAAACCCTAAGTAATACCAGGAGAGGTTCTGACGTATGCGTGTATAAGACATGTTTCAGGGTTATAGTTTATTCCATAAACAGTTATTGACCGCTTTTAAGTAACAGTGGCATTTACATTCACCCTTTGGAGGCTCAAAAGCAATCCTTATCAAAGACTACATATATGCCTAGTAGGAAACAAATTGCATTGAAATATCTCATTCAAAAGTCTAGTTAATAACGGGAAACAATATTTTCTCTGTTAAGTAACAGCGATCCTTACCCTACATGACCCAATGCAATCCCAAAAAGGCTGTTTTTAATGTATAGGATCTCCGATTCTAAGTACAGAACGAGAACCTCTAGTTATTAACCGGATTTTATTTTCTCTATATAGTAACTGTTAAGGCGACAATCCTACAAAACTCAAAGCATTCCCAAGCGACGGCTTTGTTTGCAACTCATTGAAACATCTCATTCCTATATTTCGTCTTTGACCTGCTATTGTTTTTCTATTTCTATAAAGTTACTTAATCTAAACACTATGGGGCTCTTATACAATAACAAGCGATATCGTATATACCATGTTTTATTTAGATAAACGAGTATCATCATTGGTTCTAGTGGAAACCATCTTGTTTGATTAACGTCCGTCTGCCCATCCGCGGCCCCTGTCCACATTAAAGCAATCTCATTACCAGGAGTTTTAATTTTGAAACATCTACGTAAATATTTGTGAAGTGCAAGCTAAACATTATTCAACCTCTAATCATGCTAAACCAAATGTGAACAGTTTTTTTCCACAAGTATTAAGCCAAGTCAGACTCCACAACCATGCTGTCTGACAAGGCTCTGCATTGTTTTGTTTTCTTCCGTATAAAGTAACACCAACACTGTGATGGTCATGTATCCACATTCATGTTTTCCTGGTAGAAAAAGACCTTATTTGTCCTTCCTAGCGTTATTTATTACACAACCATCTTATGAGAAGAACCTACGACGTCCGTACGCTAGCCGGATAGCTTACTCATATCAATTAATTTACAGAAGTGTGGGTCAAATGGTTTGAAGCCAATGACCCAAACCAGTCGGTCACAGGGTCCCAGACCAGGTTCTAAACTGTTGGTAACTTAACTACTGAAACGTTTTAACACTTACATTAACTGTTTTAAATCGCAATATCTGCAAATCTTTTAAACGTATTCACCAGGCTAAATGTAAATTTAATTTTATTTGTTGGGTTTTACAACACACCGACCCAGTATATGTCATATGGCGACATTTCAGCTTAACTGGTGGAGGAAGACCTCAGGTGCCCTTCCGTGCATTATTTCAGGCACAAACAGGCACCTAAGTGAACCACCTACCGACGTTCCGTAAGCTAGCTTGAAAGCTTCCTCACATGAAAGTATCAAAAGTCCCTGTCGGGATTTGAACCTACAGCGGTGAGGGGCAAGTGGTCTGAAGTCAACGACTTTAGCCACTCGACCACGAACGCCCCACTAAAATGTAAAGAAACAAATGATGTTTTAATGTATATATCTCCAATTCCATGTACAGAACGAGAGCAATCAGCACATACGGATCCTATATTTCATGTCCAATCATGTCAAGATATGAAATCGGTACCTCAACAAAAGCCAGGTAAATTCAACTAATTTAAAAGCAAGAATACATTTGTGTATATTTGAAATCGGTTATGAAGAAAACTTAAAGTAAGCGTTCCGGACAGATGTCATCGAAATAAATTTTTTTGTGGCTTCAGATAAATGTTTTGATTATTAATTGTATTCAAATGAATGATACTATAAACATATTATTAAGACTAAAAATTTCTGCATATTTACACCTTTCTTTCTTTTGCGCTGTAATGGACTTTTAATATTTCTTGTTACTTATTTTAACTGAGCGTTATTGTACAAAACGTAAGAACTATGTTTGTAGTAAATTCACAACTGAAATGGCACATTTAACCAGTAAATGACTCATTATATTTATTTTTCGTTAAGAAAACTATATAGTTAAAAATATAATCAAGGTTTGTTCCTTGCAGAAGCAAGTGGGAGACGTGGATACATCCCTGGGAATTATCTAAGGAAAGCTCAAGATATAAATCCAGGTTGTGAATTGGCGGAGATATTATTACATCGTCGCCGTGCTCTGTTAGAGAAAAATTCTTCAAATGAAAAAGTAAATATGTAACTTACAGGAAGCAATGTTATATTTAATCAATATCTAATCGATCCTAATTGTAAATTAAAGACAAATAGTATTTCAAGAAACAAGACAAATTTTATATTCAAGAAACAAGACTGATTAAATCACACCACAGCAATTTATATATTATTGTATTATTCAGATCGCTTCATAACCATGAAACATATAAGACTTAAACAGATAGTATAAATATGTTCTCCTGTTTTCACTAGAAAATTATATAGTGTAAACATTTTATACAACAATATACAATATTGTTTCTCAAATTCACAATTAAATATTGTTAACTACAAGTGTTGAATGATTTCTGATTAACACTTGTTATTCGTTAGAAATTTCTCAATATATGTAATAAAGTTAGTTTCAGACCTCATTATATAACAGATTTAGCTCTAAACGTGATAGTTGATAAGTTGATAGTTGTAGAATGAAAGTATATATTTTATTATTTTGTTATGTTCAATATTCACTAGGGCTTCCGAAATGACGGTGACTATAATAAAAACCCAGTCAAATTAATAAATTATATCATGCAATGCAAAGAATATTAACATAAGTGACTACAACTAACATATATATGGATTAATGCGTTACTGATGATGTCACATGTATTTATTCTTATTCATAACAGGCGTTTTATTTTAGCTTGACAATTGCACACGATCATGACATTACTCCATTTCTTGCAACACAAAATGGATGTAAAAGCATGCACACACGTGCCCTCCTGCCCGCGCACTCACATTCATCTCACACATTCACATCACCTTAATAACTACTCATTACGTAGGTTTGTTTTCTTTTAAGTATGCCACCGCAGCATTTGCGATGCCGTGGCATATAACGATTCACCTGTATGTTTGTGTGTATGTTTGTATGTGTGCGTGTATATATGTGTGTGTGTGCGTGCGTGCGTGCATGCGTGCTTGTGTGCTTGCGTGTGTGCGTGCGTGTGTGTGTGTGTGTGTGTGTTATATAGTGTGAACTTAAAAATCTTTTTGTGAAAAACCACATATCCAATTTCAACCAAACTTGGAATGATAAAGGCCTTCCAAAGTTCTTCGAAAAATTAAATTCCATGCAGAAATCTTGATGCCATGGAAACCAAAATGAATTATTATAATAAATTAAAAATGTTCTTGTAAAGACGTACAAGGCCTAGAGCATAGAAATTTTGCATAAAGCTTTGTCTGGTAGACCCTTACCAAGATTGTTCAAATTATAGCCCTGGGGTCAAAATTGTCCCCACCTCGGGGGTTATTGATTTCTACTATGTACATAAAGTAAAATGTTTATTGTCTGAAGGTATAAGGCTTAGAGCTTTGATTTTTGGTATATGTTATCATCTATAGGTCCCCTACAGAAATTGTTCAATTCTTGCCACTAGTGTCAAAATTAGCCCCGCTCCGAAGGACCTATAGGTTTTCCTTATATGCATATAGTAAAAACTTAACAAATCTTTTTCTCTGAATTGACAAAGGCTAGAGTTGAGCTATTTTGCATCAAACATTGTATAGTGGACTTCTACCTAGACTGTTCAAATTATAGTCCTGGGGTCAGAATTGGCCCGCCTCGGGGGTCATTGGTTTTCACTATATACATATAGAAAAAAACCTTTAAAAATCTTCTTGTCTGAAGGTACTATGCTTTGAGCTGTGATATTTGGTATATTCTATCATCTTCAGGTCCTCCATTAAAGTTGTTAAAATTTTGCCCCTAGTGTCAAAATTGGCCCTAACTCGGGGGTTCATAGGATTTCCTTACATGTGTATAGTAAAAACTTGACAAAGGCTAGAGGTGAGATATTTTTCATGCAACATTGCATAGGAGACCTCTTACAAGATTGTTTAAATCATAGCCCTTGGGTTAAAATTGGCCCCGTCCCGGGGTCATTGATTTTCAATAATTATGTATTACATGTAGTGTAAAAACAGAAACAAAAACAAATGTTTTCTGAATAGGAAAAAGCTTGAGCTTAGATATTTGACATGAAACATTGTCTGGTGGACCTGTTTCAAGATTGTCTAAATATTGCCCTGTCCTAGTGGACATTGACGTTCGTTCTTGTCCTTTGGTGTACAGCCATGAAATTTGGACCAGATGTAAAATTTAATTTTAATATTAGCTGACCTAGTCTTTGACATGTAACCTACTTTCTTGTCTTTTGATGTATAGCCATGAAATTTGGACCATGTGCACAATTTTAAATGTCAAATTGAACTTTGACATCAGCTGACCCAGATTTTGAATATGTGGCCTACTTTCTTGTCCTTTCATGTACAGATATGAAATTAAGGCCATGTGAAATATGACGTTGACCACCAAATTCAAGTAGACTCAACTGCATTATGGCAAAGTTAAATTGTATAGGAACACTTCCCTCACTTCTATTAAGTGCTGTAATATATAATTATGTGGCATAGCATTTTTCACAAATGCAATCTTGTTAACATAACTTCTAATAAAATATGGATTTACATTTTTCATCCCGGCAAGGAAAGGAAACAAATGATAACGGGGCTATTGTTCATTTCTTTGCCTTAAAATTAAAAATATAACTCTTTGAAAACTACGAAGTTGATGTTCGAGCTCATCAAAATCTTTTAGTAGCGTAACGGTCATTAAATTGATTATATGACTTACTTCCATGTAAGTGTCCTGTTGACCGGAGGTATTGCATCTTTATATAAATCAAAAGATTAAGAAGGACAGTGCTTTACATTTTATGCATTTTAAGTAAATACCCATCCATAGTTAAAGTGAATAAGTACGATCAATATATACATTATGTATTTTTGACATACCTTTTTGACATTGATATCACCATTTTGATTCAGTAGTATGACTTGCATATTTGCAATTGTATGATTGTCATAGTTCAGATAAATTTATATAAAATTGCATCACTGTTATATCAAAACTGTGTCCAAATCATTTCAATTTTAACTTTGTAGGTACATCGTCAGGACATTGTGCAGACACATATTCCAGGTAAAGTTTTCAATTAATTTGATGTTTTAATTTACAAGCACTTTTTTCTAAAACATTTTAAAAAACAAACATTAAATATAAAGAACATTGTATTCATATAATTTATAAGAGACAACAATAACACAAAGGCGATGTCAAGTAACTTGATTAAAGTAAAAATATATAACCTATTTTGAATTATCAATAATGCATTTAAGGGGCATCCGTGGACGAGTGTTCAGGCTGATGACTTCAAACCGCTTACCCTATCCGCTGTGGTTTCGAATTCCGGAAGGGACTTTGGATTCTTTTATGTGAGGTAGCTATTCAGCTTTCTCTTGGAACGTCGGTTGTTCTACTCAAATTACCGTTCGTGTCCGAAATAATGCACGGAGGGGCACCTAAGGTCTTCCCCCGCCAGTAAAGCTGGAAAGTCGCCATATGACTTATACTGTGTCGGTGCGGTGTAAAACCCAACCAAACAAACATAATATAATTAAATATTATGCGTTTTATCAAACAAGAAACATGGCAATACCACGAAACCAGGTTATTAATTACAATCATTGCACAGTTAAAAGCTAAGGCTACCACTATACATATCAGGGCACAAACATCAACACTACAAATAAGCATACAAGAGCCCAGGGCAAAAGAAACTGAATTACTTCTAATACATCTTCAATATATATTTTGACATAATGCAAGGCATCACCTACACTTATGAAGGGATACTAATAAAACTTCATAGTTATGTTCAACACCATGATAAATCGTGTCATGCGCATGAACTAGGTCTCTAGGTCAAAGGTCAAGGTCACACTGAAATGTAATTTAAAACGCTTATGCGGAGCAATCCTTCTACATACAGAGAAGGATTTCATAACCAATGTGATGGATATGTTAATGATCGTTTCCTGTATCGATTTTTTAACTATCCCTTATCAATTCTGTTATGTTAGCTAGCAATAAGTATAGAGCTGGTCAGACTTTAAATATACAGGCTGGTTTTGCTCCATACTGGTGGAAAGGGCTGATCACTGTCGCCTCACGTAGGGACAATGTTATCAATTTTCTACCAGCAACAGAATAAATGACCTATGGAAATATCATGTATTTAATGTTGTTTTTTTCCTGAAATTTATCATTATAGTCACAGCGCAGCCATCTATGATAGACCAGAAAAAACTTGACATGATGTGGAAAAGAACGGATGAAAACAAATATAAAATATATGAAGAATGTGAGCGCATTAGCAAGTTCATAGAAAATATATCAAGCTCAATTGTGCACGTTTGGCCAGCTTACGACACAAAGGCAAATGATGATATTGTGTTTGTTGTTCTCACAACTAAGGACATCGAGGACGATCTTAAAGTCCAAAACAAACTTGAAAAAACTGGTTACAATGTCTTTGTTACTCACGTTGATTCGTGCAGCAAAGAATCAGAACAAGTTTTACAAAAGGCAGATCAACTGAGAGAGACAAATCAATGTTTCTCTAAATTGGAAGTTCTAGGAAGCGTTATCAATAAGCACTCTGACCGACTTCTACGAAATCACCAATATCTATCTGCTATATATGGAAGTAATGTTAGATCTGAAAGGTTTAGTTTAGGGCCGTCTGAGCATTTTGTTTCTTTCCAATCATGTATTGTTTTATATGTTATTGCAAAAGGAAAAATTCCACTGCACGAAAATAAATTTGAAGACAATTTAGATGGCATTCCGGTTGATGTTAGAGAGGGTATATTTCAGAGAACAATTTTGCCGTCGGAAAGGTATAGCAAACCTGTCAAAATGGGTTGCCAAATTACATCAAATAGGACTCCTGAATCATTTGGAACGTTGGGTGGTTTCTTTTACCATAAAGACTTTGGATTATGCGGTGTCACTTGTGCACATGTTGTGTTAGAAGAAGCAATGATACATGATCTAAGAGGAGAAAAGAAAGTTTGGTCAAGAGAAGAGTCCCCAATGGTTTTTCATCCAAACACAACAGAACATGAATATAAGCTTGGTCCTGTTAAAGAAGCAGTTTACCGAACTGGAAGTGAAGATTCAAGTGGTATCGATATTGCTGTTTTCAAAATAGAAGGTGCAACTCCTGATTCCGGGTTTTTCCCAGAAGAATCAGGTACTTAACCAAACTTCGACCTATAAAACATCTACATGTATTTGATATATTTATCTTTAGATTCTGTAAGTTTGTCGTAGACTAAGCACTTACTGCATACATAACTTTGTACTGCATAATTTCTTTCTAAATTAGCTTATGGTATCTACCAGATTCCTACATATTCTTAATGATTTAACATATTATGCTTGACATTATGTCATGGTCCATGTTTCTTAAACCATTTTTATAAAATGGCCATTTACAGTAAAGACAGAAAGCATCAACGTTAACAGTCACATGAACTCAACAAGACATTAGAATAATTTGTCGTGAAAACGTCCCTGTTATAGTATTTATGTTGAATTTCATATAAGTAATCACTGATTTTTTTTTCATGCTAGAGATGTGTTTCGAAACTGGAAGAACTCTAGGGACATCTGACCTACAATACAATACACCGGTCTTAAAGTATGGGCGAACGACCGCACTCACTAGAGGGTATATAGAGTTTGAAAATACCACGGTCCGAATGATTAAATATGAGCGTAAGTATACACTTGGCAGCAATGAGTATACTTTTCTTTTAAAAAATCAAATAGCAGTCAGACCTGAATCATCTTTATGCACTCAATTGTTCAATGACTTTGGTGATTCTGGAGCTTTCGTGTTCGTGAAGGACTCTGACAATCAGTTAGTATGTATTGGGATTTGTGTTGGTAAACTAAATACACACGGTATTATTATCCCGATATCTGCTGTTAAAGGGGATCTCGGTATTTCAAAATTTTGTGATTTTAGATGGCATCGTCTTAGTGAGAAAATCAAGGAAATGGACAAAAAACTAGACAGGATTTTAGATAGGTTGCCTTCAAGCTCAAGCCAATAAATCAACGACATATTATTTTTGTTCTTAAACCTGACTAATTGGTGTTAGGGTTAATTTTAGTGGAATAAATGTCATTGTATGAACGTTTTCGAGTAATCTGATGATCATTCTAGTACCGACCTGCCAGAAACACTAACGAATGCGAATGTCAGAAATATTTACGACATTACTGAGAATGATTTCCACGTAATCATGCAATCCTTTTCTAAATAAATATTTCGGTTTCGGTACTGCAAAGTGCATTCCTGTCTGAGACTTGCAAATAAAACATGAAAGTTGTAAGTGCGTACCGACTTTAATGATGGCTGATCGTGTTTTTTTTCTTTTTCTTTTTTTTTGGTTTTGCTTTTGTTGTTTGTTTTTTTTTCGTATTTAGTTTTTTATGGGTTTTTTTCTATTCTTCTTATTATAAAATAAATGATGTTAACATGTTATGCTTATGTGATATCTGCAGTCACATACGCTTTGACTTTTTCATATTTGTTTATTTCATTTTTTTTTTTTATTTTAATGGGGGTAGGGGTGGGTGGAGGAGGGGTGAGGGGGTCGTCGCTGGCCGCTGATGTGGATTGTGTATCCGTTGTATATTAACATTTTGGCTCATGAAGACCAAACTTATGATGATATTTAACAATACGTATACGTTTTATATTCTTATGTTCGTATGTATGAACATTTATATACCAACATTGATTGTACTATAATGGCATGTTATAATAACAGTGGCAAACGTTAGGATTACCCTTCCTAAAACCCGTAGTAAGCATTATTTTGAGCAGTACATTTACCTATCAATTTGTATTGTAAAAGGAATTGTTATAAATTTGTTTATAAATCTTAAGCTCTAAAACATATACCGAAGCTCAAAGGTGTTTTCAATATTCTATGTTGTACGTCAAAAGTAATATGTTTACTCAGAGCAAAGTTATAATGATTTCGATCAAAAGTCTGTAATTTCAAAAAAAATGTATGCAGCATGCCAATTTTTTTGAAATATAACATTCTAATTGCACATGAATACAAATTTTGTACAGCGTAAAATAGGTTGTCCTTGAGCGAAAACGCACCATTTGTCATTTTTACAGTAAAATGTGGTTGATGAGTATATTTGATTTTAATGTATTGGTATCTGTATTTCAAAACAGATAACATTAAATACATCAATCCAAAATATTCAATACTTATTAATGTGTCTGTATACTGGACTTATAATAAAGTTCCTTTAGATCTATATGTACAGTTATTAAAACTAAGTTTTACACTCCAACAAGTACTGAGTACATTGTAAACTCTTCAATTGTCATGAGTAATGTGAATGTAACATTTTGTATTCATAATTGTATGTTATTTGTACATAATGCTATAATGTAAGTTTGCTGATTTATCTTGTATTGTATTAAATTGTTTTGCAATACATTTGATTTAAAACGTGTGAATGAAAGTGTTGAGTTGTTTAAGTAGTAGTACTAAAATGTTTTGTCACAATGTACATTGTGCACATTGTTTCGGGTATGCTAAATCATGTTTGAGGAAATGTACACAACGGTCAGGGAAATGGAGCCATGTGACATCTGAAGTCCAATAAACCAGATTCAAAGCTAAAAATAGATAAGGAGGCAAAGGTGTTGGTGTTCTAAAGGATCCCAGTACACAATTGGATGATATGGACAGAAATATGCGTATTGTGGGCCCCACACTTTCTATGAAATAAAATTCCCCAATCAGAAACTAACTTAGGTTTAATAATATTGTAAGCACAATTCAGAATTTTTTACTTTTCTAAAGTCGGGACATATATACTGATATGTTTTAGCATTTAAAACTTCAATTACATTCTGGAACAGTGTAACAATAACTGCCATATATGAGACGTTAAAGTTATATGTTCTGGTATGATCTTATTAATTCGTTCTCAATCACAAATAAACCAAAAAGCGAGAATTAAAGAATCGAAATATTTAAATGAAATCATTACTTGTAAGCAATTGGCATCATCGATGGCCACATCCCAAAATAAACATAAGTGTTTCAAACAAGTTTACTGGTATTTAATTTCGGGATTCATCGGCCACTATAGGACATAAAGCGAACAAGTGTCAAAATTACGAATCAGCACGACAAGACCTTTTTACTTGTCGTTTTTGACAGTGAACATTTAGTTGAAGAAAGTTTAAAAATCGATGTGACGTCATAGCAGAGTAACGGTTGAAAATAAAATTGATAACCTCGGTTTTATTTTAAAGGACTTTAACAGATCTATCACTTTCGTTCGATACCAAACACGGTATCAAAAATAAGGGAACTGAACGCTTTTACCGTATGAGTTATTTCATTTCCGGTTAGACTACATGATAAAACAGAACTTGTCAAGATATTTTGTTTGAAACCAAGATCATGAAAATCGGTTCAAAATTAACGAAGATATATCATTTGAAAGATTTAAAACAAAAGTTTTGAACATAGCGCCAATGATGACGTCACAAATGGTGTACGGACATAATCCCCTTCAGACAAAATCCCCTTGGCATACTCAGACAAAGTCCCCTCCATTGGTGGATGTAACCTCTTTCATGATTTTGCAAGGCTGAACAAAATCCCGTTATCTACCCGGACAAAATCCCCTTGTTTCATAGGTTTCTAATGTATTATCATGCTCCATAAAAATTAGTGAATAATGAACTTTTGTTTTTTTTTATTTATAATTATGTATCAAGTTAACCTTTATAATTATAAAAGCTTGATAAGACATATTTTTTTTATTTGTTGAGATCAATTATCAATCAAATTATCATTAAAAACAATTAAATTAATTAAGCAGTGTTCATTATAATTGTGATTAATTGTCAACTGTTTTAAATTGATTAGTATGGCAAATAAAGTAGTAGCAATCACAACACAGCATAATGCAGAACCTACTTTATAAACAGGAATATTTTCAAACTCAAATATCTCGAAAACGGTCAATAATAGACCCTTTAAACGAAGTATATTTGGATTAAGAATAAAAATAGCTTCCAAATGGTTCTATCTTTAAGTTAATCTGAGAACATTTTTAAAATAGAGGTTTAAGGGCCATAACTCAAGAACGGCCGAAAATCGAATCGAAAACCTTTGGACTTTAACAGATCAATCAATTGAAACAAATATTTTGTAAACTGATACAAAGTTTAATTTATTAAAGTGTTGCACAAAAGACAAAAGGCGTTTTTATCTAGATACACAACGTCAAAATTTATCCACCTGATCATTTTACTGTTCATTTTGAAGAGTTGCATAAATCAATAAAATGAATAGAAACATATTTCCATTTGTATAACGCGGGTCGGGGAAATCACGTCGTAAATATTATGGCGCCTTTCTTCCTATTCTAAATAGAAACTCGTACACAGATTAACCTTGACATTTTAATAAGCTATTGTCTAAATATCCGTCCCTAAATAAACACACGCTAGACATTGCTGCGACTTTGACGGAATTTACTTTGACAAATGGATGAACCATTGTTGGCACATCCGTCCCTAAATCAACACACGCCAGACACTGACTATTTGTTCACGTTTGATGCACTCGTGATACATTTTATGCACTCGTGATCAGACCCGAGCATTTAGGAATAACGCATTAATGATTTTCCTTGGAATTTAATACTGAGTGTAAGAACTAAAAAATGTACATCTGATTGCTAACAAACACTTTATCGGCAGGATTACTAGATCCACAAGATATGATTTTTTAACAGTCATGATCATATGAATAGACTGTCATTTTCTTGAAACATGACATATAGAATTCATTAACCTCTGAAACTGGAGTGAAAATGTATTTCTGAAAGTCGCTAGTGTATCCGTGTTTTTTTTTCCAGTGCCTTCAGCACTTTGATCTTATTTGTAGTACACCTTTGTTTGTTTGTTTGTTTCTGGTTTTACGTAACATCGACACAGTATAGGTGATATCGCGACGTTCCAGTTTTACTGGTGGAGGAAGACCTCAGGTGCCCTTCCGTGCATTATTTCAGGCACGGACGGGCACCTGAGTAGAACCACCGACGTTCCGTAAGCTAGCTGGATAGCTTCCTCACATGAAAGAATCCAAAGTCCCTGTCGGGATTCGAACCCACAGCGGTGAGGGGCAAGTGGTGTAGTACAACTTATCCATATCATTTTTGCCGAAAAATCATTAAATTCTAAACAAGCTTCTAAAGAATCTTTTAAACATCTAATAACATACTTGACAGCTGTAAACTTGAATTTGATGTAATGTTCAGAAATGAGTGCGTTCGGAACGTGTATGTACAATGTTCGATACTATTAAGATACTATTAAGATAGCCTACGAAACGTCACTCATTGTACTCAGATGCCCATTTGTGCCAATTTTGCAAAGATGGCACCTGAGTTCTTTCTCCATCATTAAAGCTGAAGAGTTGCCATAATGACCTACACTGTATTTTAGCGACGTAACCGCCCACCCCAACCCCAAAAAAGAAAATCAAATCAGAGTGTTGAGCAAAATATCAATAGACATTTTGCCCCGTTTACTTCGTTGCCCCCTAAAAAAACTCTATTGCGTATATTAGTCATACCAGATGAATTGTTGGTAACTTCTGTACATGTCTGAGAAATTCAACTCCATTAATAGTGACTGCAATTTAAATCCGATGGAGGCAGTTTCATGAACTTACTTGCAAATCTTATGATACCAATTACAGCCGCATAGACGTAAATGTATATGAAACAAATAAATTACCGTGCATCAAATATATGTAAATAATGTGATTGACGGTTATTGCTTAAAAGTAGAAGAATGTTCTTCGAAAAATGATGATTAAAAGATTTAAGCAAAAAATAAATAAAAATGTTTCCAGTGAAAAGATTACACTACACAAGATTCTTTTAAAACAAGATATTTTCCGTTCGTGCTAATACCGCCGACATTTGCTTGAATTGGACCGTGAAGCAAATGACTGGTCTCTTAACGCGTGTTTATTGCTTGATGCCATTTGTAA